TATGAATTTAAACAGTCTTCTGCTTTTAATTGTTATTTATTACAGAGATGAGGAGTAAGTCACTAAATGCAAGTCTCAAGTCAAGTCCAAGTCTTAACATTGCAAGTCAAAGTCAAGTCAAGTTATTCTGTTGTAAGGGTCTAGTCATACTCTTTGTCAAGTCAAGTCAAGTCAAGTCGCAACTTGGTCATCAAGTCATACCAAGTCGCACACAGGCTAGTTTTACACATTTTTTAACTCTGGCACTTTAGTTTATTTAGACACAGAGGGCTGATGGGTTACAAAAATAAATAAATTAACTTGTGTGTTATAAATAAAATATCATTAAGAAGCACTTTAAATGCTCTAAAATAAAAATAAATTAAATGAACAGAAGTAAACAAGAATTAATACAAGTTTTCCCATCTTGTAAAAAAAAACGATATTGCATTCTAAATTAACTCTTTCCCCGCCAAACACGGAATTTTCCGGGTTTAATGAAAAAACGCATCTGCGCCAAACACGGAATTTTCCGGGTATCCGTGTTTTAGGTGGTATACGGTAAGGAAGACCCGCGCGCATGTCCTGAATGAGTGCGCAACTCTTTGATCAGAGAAACAGATTGCAATCGTCTCAAACAGTGGAGTAGTGAGAATGTATCAGACAGACAATGCAGAGGTATATGGCTGAAGTACTGGAGGTTAAAGGACTCGGAGTCCGATCACTCTTAATTTGATCATTCTGAATCTGATCGGGACAAAGTAGTCAGTGAGAGAGATGCACATGTTGTCACAGAAAGTTCTAGCCATGGACGTGCCGCAGATAGATCGTATAATATTATGACACTATAATATGTATGTGTGTGTGCAAGCATTTATGTGTGGCTGTCTAAATATGAAGGTGTAATTGTCAAATTATTTCTCTCTTTGTGCACATTTACCACATTGTAATATGTATTTGTGTGTGTGTGTGTGTGTGTGTGTCTAGGCCCGTTTATTGTAATTCCAATTATTCATTATTCACAGGTAGAACACAGAGAGGCAGAGGCAGAAGTTTTATTGCAAAAGTTACATTTCCCTTACATCCTGGGAAATTTGATATATTTTACATTTATTTTATGTTTTTAATTTATTTTGGAAAGTTTTATATATGAAGGAAACAACATCTGAATGTATTCTGCTTTTAAATGCACTTGTTTGATAAAAATACCTTTTTCTCAGTTTTTTGTCCAAAATGTTGTGTTTTTGACAAAACCTACCTCTGTTCAAGAGGCAATAAAAAAGAACAGATGAAGATAAAATAAAAACGTTTTTTTTGCCTAAAAGCAGAGGCTCAGATCTTTATTTTTATATACACTCACCGGCCACTTTATTAGGTACACCTGTCCAACTGCTCGTTAACACTTAATTTCTAAGCAGCCAATCACATGGCGGCAACTCAGTGCATTTAGGCATGTAGACATGGTCAAGACAATCTCCTGCAGTTCAAACCGAGCATCAGTATGGGGAAGAAAGGTGATTTGAGTGACTTTGAACGTGGCATGATTGTTGGTGCCAGAAGGGCTGGTCTGAGTATTTCAGAAACTGCTAATCTACTGGGATTTTCACGCACAACCATCTCTAGGGTTTACAGAGAATGGTCCGAAAAAGAAAAAACATCCAGTGAGCGGCAGTTCTGTGGGCGGAAATGCCTTGTTGATGCCAGAGGTCAGAGGAGAATGGCCAGACTGGTTTGAGCTGATAGAAGGGCAACAGTGACTCAAATAACCACCCGTTACAACCAAGGTGGGCAGAAGTCCATCTCTGAACGCACAGTACGTCGAACTTTGAGGCAGATGGGCTACAGCAGCAGAAGACCACACCGGGTGCCACTCCTTTCAGCTAAGAACAGGAAACTGAGGCTACAATTTGCACAAGCTCATCGAAATTGGACAATAGAAGATTGGAAAAACGTTGCCTGGTCTGATGAGTCTCGATTTCTTCTGCGACATTCGGATGGTAGGGTCAGAATTTGGCGTCTACAACATGAAAGCATGAATCCATCCTGCCTTGTATCAACGGTTCAGGCTGGTGGTGGTGGTGTCATGGTGTGGGGAATATTTTCTTGGCACTCTTTGGGCCCCTTGGTACCAATTGAGCATCGTTGCAACGCCACAGCCTACCTGAGTATTGTTGCTGACCATGTCCATCCCTTTATGACCACAATGTACCCAACTTCTGATGGCTACTTTCAGCAGGATAATGCGCCATGTCATAAAGCTGGAATCATCTCAGACTGGTTTCTTGAACATGACAATGAGTTCGCTGTACTCAAATGGCCTCCACAGTCACCAGATCTCAATCCAATAGAGCATCTTTGGGATGTGGTGGAACGGGAGATTCGCATCATGGATGTGCAGCCGACAAATCTGCGACAACTGTGTGATGCCATCATGTCAATATGGACCAAACTCCCTGAGGAATGCTTCCAGCACCTTGTTGAATCTATGCCACGAAGAATTGAGGCAGTTCTGAAGGCAAAAGGGGGTCCAACCCGTTACTAGCATGGGGTACCTAATAAAGTGGCCGGTGAGTGTATATCATCTTCATATATTCATGGAAGAAAATATTCAGCGGGGCATTCAAATTTAGCGAAAATCGTCAAAAACCCTGGCGGTGGCTGGCAACTTTTTTTTAAAACGCTGGCGGGGAAAGAGTTAATAGGCCTACTGTGTCACAAAGTTTGTATGTTCTCATTCTAAATATCCAGGTGATTTGATCCCATAACACAAAAATTATATGGAATTTAAGAAAACAAATCTAATCATTAGTGTTTTCGATAATTTTTTAATACTTTCCCTGAAAAGGAAAGTATTTCTTACAGGGCATTTCACATGCACCTCCTTTGCGTAGGTCTGTGCTCTTTAAATGCTGTAATAACCTAATGTAAATAAATCACCGACAAACATGCACATGCTCTGATTATAATCATATGCCGCTGGATGAACTTGCAAAGTATAACTAAGACCGGTCCTCGCGGCCTCAACACTACCAGCCCACTGGGAAAAGTCCTGAATCTTCAATTGCCACTCCGCTACTGAGTATCATCATTTAAATGATTTAAACCCGACTATTTTTTTAAAACATGGGTCATTATGACTGACGTTCTCAACTTTCTATATTACTTTCACCCGCCCACAACATTTATGTTTCGTCCTGCTCCTGCCCGCAAAAAGCCTTTTTTCTGTACCTCCAAATACTTTCAAGTTAACCTACGTGTCGCCACCATACACAACAGCATAATTGCTCCTGATAAATTATTTGTATTAAGGCATTAACACACAAACCATTGTTACAACATGAAAGCAAGCAGCTCCTGCGTGCATGGTTTGGCATGACTGTTCGCTCCTTTAATAATTCCTAAAAAGCTGACAGTTCATCGCGATCTCACACATCTGTTATCAATGAAGCTTTCATAATATATACACTTTGTTTGTTATAATTAAAGGATTTGCCAACATACAGAAATTCAGCACTGGCCATTGCGTTCCAGAAAACAACACACATGTCTGTGATTGGCTACATCGCTCAACGCTTTATTCTCCCTCAACCCGCACACACAGCCCGCATTACCGCCCGCGCTCGGCGCATTAAAAAACACAATATTAGAGGTTTTTTTTTCCACAAGTCATTTCAAGTAAATAGGCACAAGTCCGAGTCAAGTCTAAAGTCACAAGGAGCAAGTCTAAAGTCAAGTCGAGTCTTTTCAGACATCTAGTCAAGTAAGTCTCAAGTCCAGAAAATTGCGACTCGAGTCTGACTCGAGTCAAGTCATATGACTCAAGTCTCCCACCTCTGCATTATACAATGTTTTAATCATTCCACTATTTTTGACAGAAATCTTTGGATGAAAACAGACCCCCGGCCCTAAAGTATCAGCAGAGAGACAGCATTTTTTTTTAAATGGATAGTAAACTTACATTTTAAAATGCAGCAATTGCTGCTGTTTTGCACAATGTCCCTTTGCAATGTCCCGAACAACTTTAATGCGACTGGTTTATTTTTGCTGCGGTAGGCATTTTGGCATGCTTAAACACAAATGCTGTCGAGTAACATGGTTTAGTAGCCTAACTACAAGCCCTGAAAATGTTTTAATTTTATGATCATTTGGTTTAATTTATTACACTTATCAGTTTCAGTTAATAAATCTACTAACAAATTAAAATAACACAAAGTTAAAGACAAGTAACCTATTGACAGCCTTTCTAAATTATAGAAAAAAACTGGGCACACAGCCTAATGTTGAAGTGTGCCTTCTTTGCTTAAATTTGATGGAATAACAGAGGCCTATTTTTACTTCACATTTATTTTATTTGAATTTACTTTTTTCAGTATTGTGATTTTGTGAATTCGTTTAACTACAATATTAACCTTGAATTTATCTGCGACCTCAGCTCTCAATGAGCAGTGGCAGATTATGTCATACAGAGAATTATCGGACACTTTAAATAAATAAACAGTTAATAAACTCGCTAATAAACAGCTACCTTAAGCTTCAAGAACAGTAAAACATAAAAGCTGTCGGCCAACAGCATGTAATGAGGTTCGATCTCAGGTCGTTTGGAGGTCCATGAAGTTGAGGTTGATGCGTTAACCACAGAGCTACCGTTAGAATGCTTATGCATTATTGTCTTATATGCTTGTAAAGTCTCATTGATGTAGCCTAATATGATTCTACTGCAATGTTTTAAGTTTAAGTATTGTGATTAATTAATTAATTTAACTACGTTTCACTTGAATTAATCTGCTACCAGCTTTCAATCGCTCTGAATGAGACACAGAAACCGAAAATTCTTGTGACAGCAGTATTTGTCTAAAAACAATCCTAACCATTCTATTTAATCAGAAATGATCTTAAAATGTAAAATTCCGAACTTTAATAAGGCTGACAATTTAAACTGACTGAAATATCAGCTAGTAAGACGTTGGCCAAAAGAGACATTTGTGTTATGTAATTGTCGTGTTGTTTCTCTGTTAGTAAGAAACCGGACACAGTGCGAGCTCCGTTAATTCCGCTGCCCATGCCCAAGAAACTGTACTTCTACATCAATTCTGAGATCAAGTGGGATCTAGAGATGGCCAAGCAGAATCTGGATATGTGAGTTCAACTGCCTGTTATTGTTTTGGGCACTTTTTATTGTTTATTTAAAGGGCCCCTATTATGCTAATTTCTAGGTTCATAATTTAGTTTGGGCTCTACTGGAATACGTTTTACATTGGGAATTATTTAAACAAGGAATATTGTGACTACAAGTGAGGGTTGCGTTATTGGACTTTAATCTTTGCAGATCTTTTCAATGGTCAAACAGCAACATTACTCACTAAAGAAAGTTGAACATGTAAAAAAGCATAATAGGTCCTCTTTAATGTTACACTGCATTCTTTTGCTGAAGAATATTTTGGTAGTACTTCGGGCTCTGCCTGACTGTGCAAATAAAAATGGTAATTGTACTGCTCATATTAAAAAAACATTCACTACTAGGCTTACATTTACATTTAGTCATTTAGTAGACGCTTTTATCCAAAGTGACTTACAACTGAGAACTAAACCAAGTGAGTCATTGTGAAGAGGCAAAAACAACGCAAGAAGTGCTCAAAATACCAGACGATGAATAAGGGTCTTATCATGCGAAACGATCGGTTATTTCAAAACTTATTCCAAAAATGTAACTTTTCTAAGGACAAATGCTAGCCTTGCTCTATTCTGTGAGGCGCATTTGTAACATCACGTAATACGTAATTACGTTCAAAAGGTCACGGGCGACGTAGCCGTAAGTACAGAGTCAGTGTTTACAAGTTGAACGCATAGGTTGAACCTGCAAACTAACTCAAACGCCGTTTACAAAAAATGAATTAAAAGGTAAAACAACGATGTCGGACGATTTTGATTCTGTACTTCCGGCTACGTCGCCCCTGACCTTTTGAACATAATTGCGTATTACGTGACGTTACAAACGCCCCTCACAGAATAGAGCAAGGCTAGCATTTGTCCTTAGAAAAGTTAAATTTTTGGAATAAGTTTTGAAATAACCGATCGTTTCGCATGATAAGACCCTTATTCATCGTCTGGTGTTGTTTAAAGACATTTGAAGCTGCATCTGAAACCGTTATTAACTCTCTTTTCGACCTTGGACCGTCTGGTTCCCATGTAAGTCCATTATATGGAGAAAAATCCTGGAATGTTTTTATCAAAAACCTTAATTTCTTTTCGACTGAGGAAAGAAAGACATGGACATCTTGGATGACATGGGGGTGAGTAAATTATCAGCAAAAGTTTTTTTCAAAAGTGAACTAATCCTTTAATAATATCCTATCAGAGTTTCAGTCGGGCTTTCAAAAGAATCATAGTACCATCTCTGCTTCGTTGAAGGTGGTAAATGACATCATTGAGGCACTGGACAACAAAAAGATGTGTGCAGCTCTTTTTATCGATCTTTCTAAAGCTTTTGAGACAGTGAACCATTGTATTTTAAAACGGAGACTGCTCAGCATTGGTCTTTCTGAGAAGGCAGTTGGTTGGTTTGAAAATTATCTCTCAGATAGGACTCAGTGTGTCACTTTTGACGGTAGTTTTTCAGGTTTCTTACAAGTGGTATCAGGGGTTCCTCAAGGGTCGGGGCTGGGTCCACTTTTATTTACCATTTATGTGAATGATCTTGGCTCAAATGTCCATAACGCTCTGTTTCATTTTTATGCTGATGACACAATTATTTACAGTTGTGAAGAAACCCTTCACGAGACTTTTCAGTACCTGCAGGATGCCTTTGATGTTGTACAATCTAGGCTTTTTGACTTGAAGCTTGTGCTGAATGCAAATAAAACAAAGGCAGTCTTGTTCTCAAATAAAAGGAGCTCCACGGCTATCACTCCAAATATTGTAACCCTGAAGGGAAATGTAATAGAACGTGTGGCTGAGTATAAGTACCTGGGGCTTTTACTTGGTGAACATTTGACTTTTAAGGCTCATATCCAAAGTTTAGCCTGGAAACTTAGGTTAAAGCTTGGATTCTATTTTAGGAACAGGGCCTGCTTTTCCCTTGCAACAAGGAAAAAATTGGTCGAGGTTAACTTTTTGTCTCTTTTGGATTATGGTGATTTCTTATATATGCACGCCCCAAATAAATATTTGCACCAACTGGACTCAGTTTATCATGGTGCAGATTCATTACAGGGTGCAAACCCCTTACACATTGTTGCACTCTGTATGATCTGGTCCAGTGGCCCTCCCTTGCTCAGCGCAGGCTAACCCGGTGGCGATTGTTTATATATAAATCCATTATTGGGACATTGCCCCCTTGTTTATGTAGGCTTATATGCTTCAAGGCCAGCACTGCGGTCCAATAATTATCTCCACATGATTGTGCCTAGGGCTCGAACAGAGTTAGGGAAGCAGGCATTTAGAATCTCTTCCCCATCAACGTGGAACCTATTACAGAATGACTTAAAACTTGATAACTTGGTCTCCTTTGGTCACTTTAAAAGGCTAGTAACGTATCAGGAAACAGCCACAATGGGCACCTGTCCCTGCTTCCCAAATTAGGATAAGTGTCTAATATTTTAATTTGTTACATAGTATTTTTAACTGTTGTAAGGTCATTGTATTTTACTTTTTAAGCATTGTTAATGTATTATGCCTTGTATGTTTATTGTATTTATTTTTGTTTTGTATTTTACGTGGAACCTTTTAGTGCGGCCTTCTTGGCCAGGGCTCCTTCGCAAAAGAGACTTGTACTCAAAGGATTTCCCTGGTTAAATAAGGGTTAAATAAATAAAATAAAAAAATAAAAAATTTTGTTTAACATGTAATATTAAGGGCATAACATATCGTCGTCGCTGAGTCATCATGAATAATCATGTATCCTATTTTTTTTATGACCTTTAATGATGGAGTATTTTAAGTCTATGTTGCAGCTATATGAAAAAAAAAAGCGATCAAAACGCGGGGGCACGTTTTTGGTCCTCAGGGGGTTTGTCACGGGTTATGGTGCAGGATGAAGGAGAGGCTGACACAAAGACTCTAATTCAAATATTTACTTGTATAATCTAAACTCAGGTACAGAATGATGGTCAAAGGGCACCCAGACAGCAAACTGACATTGAATCAACGTGGAAACGACGTCTCTCATGACATTGAAACAACGTTGATTTGCTCATCGAATTAACGTTGAACCAACGTCAGACGCGGCATTCTTCAAAGCTAAATGAAATCGAAAATTGGTTTGCTTTTATAACGTTGAAACAACGTGTTGATTTTAAGTTGATTTTCCGTTAGTTTTGAAAGAATGACGCATCTGACGTTGGTTCAACGTTAATTCGATGAGCAAAACAATGTCAGATCAACGTTGTTTCGATGTCATATTTCCACGTTGATTCAATGTCAGTTTGCTATCTGGGCAAGAATCACACCATGTAACATAGACGAGAACCGACCAAGACAGACTGAACAAAGAGAACTAAATACAGAAGCAAATGAACACTAACGAGGTGAAGACAGGTGACACAGATGATAATGACGCTGAACAGGTGGATGATTGAGGGAGTGAGAACGGGTGTGGAGACAAGAGGATCCTGGGAAGTGTAGTGAAGACAAAGACGGACAGGTGCAGACGAGGACTGTGATGCTACGTTCACACCGGACGCGAATTGCGCGTCAAATTCGCGCCTGACGCGTCTAGTTTGACTGGCGTGCGTAAAAACAAAAGTTTGAAGCGAAATTTACGCTCGTCAGAATCGAAATCTGTTGGTGGCCATTGTTTTTATGTCGACCGAGCATTCATCAAGAGAGTTACCGCTCTGTATTTACTCTGGAGAGCAGAACAGCGGCGTGGGGATCATCGTCGCCGTATATTTGTGTCCACCGGACCCTTCAGAGCCGAACCGTTTGGCGAGTTTCACCATTTGCTCGCTCCAGGAGCTGCGCTGGATGACTGCCGCTGTCAGCGGTACTTCCGCCTGTCCCACGCCCAGTTTGATGACATGTTGTCCCGCATCGGAGCGAGGATCACCCTCGCCCTCATCCATCTAATCTAGCTGTCATTTATTTTTTGTTTTGATGATAAATAAAGCCAGCCTTCAAAAGTTATTAACCTGTCCTGTGATTTTTTTTTTTTTTTTTTTTTTTTTTCTCTCTCTCACGTCCAGACACGAATTTATGCACATATGTTGTTTGTCTTTACAACATAATACTATTTCATATAATCTAGCTATGGAATGAATAACATTCAATACAAAATGAACATGTCTCGTATATAGAAATAATGTTTTAAGTGATAAAACATTTGCTTTGTTGTGCATAATCCCACCATGCATTTAGTCATATTAACAAAATAATTTTGTTACATGAGCAAGCAGCTAGGCTCCTGATTGGTTAACGCGGCGCGAATTCACGCCAAAGTTCAGATTTTTCAACTCGGGCGGCAGACGCGAATTCGCGTCAAACGCGTGAATGCACAAATGGCACTAACTGAATCATTCGCGCTTAACGCGCCAGACGCTCAATTCGCGCGAACGAGGGGTATTCGCGTCTTCCGCGCCTCGCTCCACGCCGCAGGAATTTTTCACACGCGTAAAGCGTCTTTGCATTGACTTAACATTGAAATCATTCGCGCCTGACGCGCTATTCGCGTCCGGTGTGAACGTAGCATGACATTACTCCCCCCTCCCGGTAGGCATGACCTCACACCGTAGAACAGGTGTGGGAGGGTGGGCGCCCTGAAGGCTGGCCAGGGCATGGCCAAACAGGGACAGGAAGCCTCCAGGGCAGATCAGGAAGTCCAGGCGGCCAGGGCGGATCAGGACGTGGGCGTGGCCAGGGTGGAGCAGACGAACCCTCGGGCGTCCAGGGCGGAGCAGGCTGAGGGCGTGACCAGGGCGGCGAAGACCCCTCAGGCGGCCGCGGCGGTGGCGAAGACCCCTCAGGCGGCCGTGGCTGGGACATTGAGCCCCCACATAAAAAAAATATATATATATTTGGGGTTTGATGCTGCTTTTGATTTTCATCAATGTTGGTTATTGTGTAGTGTTCAGATCTATTAAAGCCTGTTACTGTTATATAATTTTAGTAATATAATTATTAACAATAGTAATAAAAATTTGTTA